TCTTTCTTTTATCCACAGTGTTTTTAAAACTACAACACATTTTAATCCATATCCTCATTCTTCTTTTTGAGGCTTAAATTTTCAAAGTTTAGCCACTGAAAACTCTTCAAACTTTTGATATGTCCATATTTGTCTTTGAGCACAACACAATGTTTTGTACTCACCCTATAATTACTTCACTGTAGACCTTGAATCTCCCATTTCATACAAGGAGATGCCATAGGATTCTAGACTAGATTCCAGCAAACCTTCCTGGTATCCAATCAAGAAGAGCTATCTCCAGGAAAGGAACCACCTGTGGAAGGCTAGTTGGAGCAGGAAAGAGAGAAGTGTCTCAAAATATAGTAGGTCTTCAAATGTGTGTGGTTTTCAGGCACATTTACGCATCCCATACTCCAAACCCATTATTTCTCATGGATCAGAGTTGTAATGGGACTACAAACAGACTTTTTAGGATTTTCTCAATTTGATCAATTCCTGTTTCCTCCTGTCTGCCACATTCTAAACTCCCAGGGTTCCAGTTAGACTAGTTTCCATGTAAGGTGTGGGAGGGTGTCAACCGCAGCACTGTGGATCTTTGCCTTATAATTTAGAATTCAGAACAGGGCCATATAAAAATGCTAACATATAGAATACAAATTTGTTGAGCATAGAGAGAAAAAGAATCTCCACATAGGTGTTTTACCAAGTAACTGCCAGTTAAATAAGAGCGTTGCACTCTTAAGTGCTTCGCCTGCAATCCAGGAATCCCAATAGAGGTTTAAAAGAAAATTAATTCCATGAGAATAGAGATGTTTTGGGTTTTTAAAATGAAAATCAATCTGCTGAGATTATGCCCTATAAATCTCAACTTCCATCTCCCCTCATTCCACCTAGTGACATTTTACTGAAAACATTTTTTTTTGCCAACAATAATAAACATTTGTGCTTCTGCAAAGGCTAGGAAGCCTCTTTCGAACTGATGAGTTGGGAAGAGTGCACTGCTGCATAAGGGTATCAATTGGCCGCCAAGGAGCACTGCCGGTTATTCAGAGGCTGGCGGCCAGCTAGTTTAATTGGATTGTGTCAGAATCCTTCTCTGAAGGCTCAGGTGCCCCCCTGACCTTTCCCTGGGCTTTTATTTCCAATTTTCACACGTCACTGTGCTCCTATCAATTAATGACCTTGGTAGGCTGGCAGAGGGTGACAGGACAACTGTGCATTTTTAGTCTGAATGATCTTTCTCCAGTCCACGAATGGTAAAGGTCGGTGAGGGACCTCGGAAAACTGCCAGGTGTTCTTTGATTCACATTTCAGAAAACTGAGCTCTCCCTCCTATTCCTTCTGAATGGAAACAGAAAGAGCCATAGGATTTCAGACATGAGAAGAATAATAAACACAGGGAGATGATGTCTTTGCATGGCTCTCTGGTGATGAAGTGTGCCTCACAGCCACAACCTCTATGGGTCTGAAACAACCTCTAGTGTGGCAGGTTTAAAACTTATCAGAAAATCAGGAAATACAAAGTGTGGCTCCACATGTGGGTCCCGGGGTGGCACAAATGATTTGCGCTTGATACCCTAACCTAAAGGTTGGCAGTTCACTGGAAGTCACTAAGAGTCCAGTAGCCATCAACTCAATCACAATGGGATCAGCTCCCCAGGTGATTTTAATGAGAGGAATAAATAAGCCTACTCATTTTGCTCATCCCCACTTTGAATGGCATTTATAGGTTAATACCAGAAAATTTTCTTTTTGTACCTCAATAGTGATGCATATTCTTAAACATTTTAACTTTTTCTTCCCCCATTAGATCTCTACAGCTTTGCACAGTGAGTAGAATCATATCATAATCCATATTTTCTGAGTGGAAAAAATGAGAGTATAAGGCATTGAGTTTGTTTTGTTTGTTTGTTTTTTAATTAGAGACTGGGCCAGTTAATTCACAGCAAAATACATACTGAAACCTAGATTTTCTTACCCCCAATCCCAGACCCTTCCTAAAACCCTGCTATTCTGTCTGCTTCTTGGTCCTACAGTCCCTTGTTGTGAGTAGGATGTCTGACAAAATCATGGACTAGGTTCTATTGTGCACTCCTTGGCTCCCACGCCTCAGTCCTCCCCACTTCCTCCCTAAATCCCATCCTGTAACAGCATTCCCTCAGAGGGCAGCTGAAATGCTTTCATTATTAGAAATAAATACTCAGTCATGGATGATCCTCCTCTTGTATATTTGAATTTAACAAAGATCTAAGTATTAAGATACTCATTTGCTCAGTAAATATTTATTGAGCACCTACTACATCCCAGACTCTCCTCTAAAAAAAAAGTTGCTGTCAAATTGAGCCTGAATCACGGTGACCTCATGTGTATTAGAGCAGAACTGTACTCCGTAGGGTTTTCAATGGCTGATTTTTCTAAACCAGATAGGCAGGCCTTTCTCCTGAGGCAGCTCTAGGTGGACTCAAACCTCCAACCTCTCAGTTAACAGCCAAGCATGTTAACTGTATCACCTAGGGACTGCTACACACTACTCCTCAAAAACAAAAACCCATTGCAGTCAAGTCAATTCCAACTCATAGTAGCCTCATAGGAGCTCTGGTAGCGTAGAGCCTAAGGCACTTGACTGCTAACCAGAAGGTTGGTGCTTCAAACCCACCAGCCACTCCTTAGAAGGAAGGTTGGGCAATCTACTTCTGTAGTGATACTGCCTTGGAAACCCAAGGACAGGTGCTATGAGTCAGATCTGACTTGATGGCACATAACAACAACAACAGGTAGCCTCATATGTTACAGAGTAGAAGTGTCCCACAAGGTTTTCTTGGCTGTAATCTTTGCAGAAGCAGATTATGAGGTCTTTCTTTGGCAAAGCTGCTGGGTGGGTTCAAACCACCAATCTTTAACAGAGATTGCAAACCAATTGCACCACCCAGGGACCTGTAAACACTCATTGGGCCCCTGGAATTCAATGATTAACAAGTCAGACAGATTACCTACCTTCAAGGGGCTTATCTACAATCCAGTGGTGCTTCCAGTTTAATTTCAGAATAAAGCACACTTGTGGAATTTCAGACATCATTTCAGAATTGGAGAAAGATTTGCAGGCAGCAGCCTTCTCAGGCCATTTTTCAGCCCTGTCAGACTTGGTTGCTGCTTTAATCAGCCCTGACCATCTGATAACTTTTGTTTTTTTTTAATGCTTCCATTATTTCCCATGATAGGCATTAGCATTCCTCCTCCTCACCAGTTTCTCTCCCTGAGTAGGTAACAAATGGTTCTCTCCAAGGCTAATCTATCTACTTTCAAGTGTCTTCAGGGCCATGGAATTCAAATAGATCACACAGATCAGTGAAAAGGAGTGGTAGCCATCCACCCTGCCAACCAGCCTGTAGCTGGCTATGACCAGAAGAGAGCACACTCCATCATCTGAAAGGAGAGCAGTGTGGACTGTTTTAGACTCATCTATGAACTTAATTAAACATTCAGAGCCACATATATGAAAACCTTAGCTGACATATCATCTTCATGGGTGAAATAAAAATTGCTAATGTGAAGCTACTCTGAATCATGGAGATTTTATTGCTTCCATCCTCATCTTAAAAAAAATGCAGACTATATAGGAAGGCAAAATGCCACTTTCACTTTCTTATCATAATCTACAATTCAGCATAAGGGAGACTGATTTTATTGAACTCCAGAAAGACAAATTAGATGGAGGGAATCAACTTATCAGTATAGAACCATCGAAAACCTCTTGTTCTGGAAATAAATCTTTTTTTTTTTTCTTTTTTTTGCAGAAGGTAAACCCAAAAAGGGTGTGACCTACCCATCGGCTCTTACATATTCATCATCTAAAAGCCCAGCTGCTGAATCAGGCAAGTGTTCATGTGTGATTTCATCTAAATCTCCTGAGTCAGTAAACATCAATCCCGTGTTTTAGCAGATAGGGTAGAAATTAACATTGTCACTGGCAGGCACCACTGACTCCAGTAATATTTAACAGATGTCAGGAACACAGGTACAGAAATCAATGGGATCAGATGGCTAGGGCTAGGGCTGCAGAGGGAAGGCTTTATTTTTTTGTTTTAGCAATTCTGAAATTGTATTTGTGCCCTTTTTGTTCAGAATCACTATTGCCTTGAATTTTATTGTATTGTTACTTTAGAAGATGACATGACATTCTGTCTGGAAGTGTTTTCTGGCAGTTAAAAGGGAAAAAGCTGTATCTACTTAGGTATGAAATGAAAGGAAGCAAAGACAATGTGGCTTATGTAATAAAGGCATTCCATCAGTTGTTGTTAGGTGCCGTTGAGTCATCACTGACTCATAACAACCTTATGTACAACAGAATGAAACACTGCTTGGTCCTCTGCCAGCCTCATGATCCTTGCTATGCCTGAGCCCATCATTGCAGCCACTGTGTCAATCCATCTCCTTGAGGGCCTTCCTCTTTTTTGTGGACCCTCCACTTTACCAAGCATGATATCCTTCTCCAGAGGTTGGTCCCTTCTGACAACATGACCAAAGTAGGTGAGACAAAGTCTAACCATTCTTGTTTCCAAGGAGCATTCTGCCTGCACTTCTTCCAGAACAGATTTGTTAGTTCTTTTAGCAGACTCTAGCATTTAGTACTCTTAGCATTCTTCTCCAGCACCACAACTCAAAAGCATCAATTCTTCTTCGGTCTTCCTTATTCATTGTCCAGCTCTCACACACATATGAGACAATTGAGAATACCATGGCTTGGGTTAGGCATACCTTAGTCTCAGTAGACAGCAGCTAATATGAATAACCAAGCCAAAATTCACACTGTCTATGGGTTGGTTGTCCCAACCTAGCTTCTGTGCGGATCACAAAAGGGGTATGGGCAGACCTTAGGTGAGGAAAATTGCTTTTTATAGATTTCTGTACTAAAGTGAGAACTGTGCTGTGCAATACTGTATTTCTGGGGGCGGGGGGGTGCTGTGATTTCCCACATGGTCAAAGAGAACTTGGGAGTTGCATTCTAAAGGGATCTTTCATGGTTTCCAGAAACTTGATGAACCAGCTGATGTTTTATTTTATTCAGGTTCTATTCATTTACTTAAAATAATCATGGTTTCCGAAATGGTGAATCTTTATGGAAGTAGATTACCCCATCTCATTCACAGAGCAGCTGGTGGGTTTGAACTGCCAGCTTTCTGGTTAGCAGTCAAATGGCTTAGACACTGTGCCACCAGAGCTTATTGAGCATGGTTTAAGAATAGTAATGGAAGTTGGCATCTATTGAGTACTTGTTATGTGCCAGGTGCTGCTCCAAAAGTTGTATGTGATTATTGTGTTTACCTTCCCCAACACCATAAAAAAAAAAAAAAAAAAAACTCTCATTGCTGTCAAGTCAATTCCAACTTATGGTGACCCCCTTTAGGTTTCCAAGGTGGTAAATCCTTGAAGAAGTAGATTGCCCAGTCTTCCTTCCACAGAGTGGCTGGTGGGTTTGAACAGCCAACCTTCTGGTTGGCAGTCAAATGCCTTAGGCACTACACCACTAGAGCTCCTTACCCCAATACCATAGGTAAGTACTGTTCTTGCCCTAATGTAGTGTTTGAGGCAAATGCAACACAAAGAGTTTAAGTAACTTATTCTATGCCACATAGCTAGTAAGTAGCAGAGCTGATAATCAAACCCAGACAGTCTGCCTCCAGAAACCCCTCTGTAAACCATGTGTGTTAGACTGGGTTCTCTAGAGAAACAAAAACCAGCAAAGCTTATATATAGAGAGAGAGAAAAAAAATTATCCTAGGAAAATGGCTCAAAAACTTATAGAAGCCAGCAAGTCCAAAGTCCCTGGATCAAACGTCAAGCTGGAGGCTTTTCCTGACTCCCGCAACCACAGGGGCCAAGAAGCTCAAGGCTGGCAGGCAGTACACTAGCTGTTGACTCCAACGAATGATGAATCCAAGATCTCCAGGCTGAACAGTGGACTGCTCACTCACGGAGAGTTGTAGGCAGCACAGTGGAATCCCAATCCATAGAAGAATGTCTCTCTTCACATGATGTCCCTGGATATCCTCGAAGCAGGCCACACCCCTAGGGAAACTCCCGTTCAACAGATTAGCCACTCAGAATACAGTCATCCGATCCCATCATGGGAACAACCACACAGAACTGGGGTCCAGCCAAGTTGACACACAGCTCCAACTATCACAGTCCA